CCCCAAAACCCCAAAACCCCAAAACCCCAAAACCCCAAAACCCCTTAATTTAATTTATTAATTGATATTTTATATAATTATTTTAGCCACAAATGCTATCTTCTTTTTCGAGGTATTTCCATGAGCTTACTGTTTATTAGGCGTCCAATCTGTTTAATTTTTAATGGTATAACAAAAACATGAAGTTTACAGCAAAGGCTGAAATTATCTAGCAGGATAATCAATTTCAAACCTCTCCGAACACCTTTTCTGAGTAAGCAAAAAGACACTTCTTTTTTAATCAGAACTTTCAATCTAACATTGTTTAGGCCTCCATTCAAACATTAGCATGAATTACTTCAGCACAAACATCCACGAAGGTTTAAAAGACTTTATCGAGTTCGAAGAAGCAAGAGCAGCACCCCATGAATTTTACAGAGACTTTGTTGTCAACAGGAAGAAGGATTATTTAACTCTTAGTGCTGAAGAAAGTGTTTGTATGTAGCACAATATCACAAATATATTTATTCTTACTTTGTCTTCTAAATAGTCTAGCCATGCCTTAGTATCCAGACCCGAATTACTCAGTTAAAGTTTCAGAAGACTTCTAATTATCTTAAACATTATTTTTGGTTAGAAGCTACATTGCTATTTCTATAGATACTCAATGTGCAATCAATAAACTACCATAAAGATAGTTCATAGCTTACCAATTATTTACTTCAGATTTACTCTGCATAAGAGGACAGATATTTAGAGAAAAATTGATTATTTTCATACGATGCAAGATTAGAAGATATCACAAATTTTAGCTCTGCACTGAGATAATTCGAGTGCATTCTGAGATTAATCAACTGGAAGTTATCTAAAAATCTCTAAATACAATAAATATTGAATGGCTTGTGCAACTTAATTTCTATCTTAATAATTACCTAATTTTCTAAATATAGTGAAGAATAAAAACGTACAGCATTTGATCAAAGATATGGTTGAGTCAGAATCTCTTTCAGAATTTTTAGAGATCATTGATACTGCACCGAGTGAACTTCTTTATTCCTTAATTTTGGAAGAGATTCACCAACACCCGCAATCAAACAACCTGTTAAGATTTTTAAAATAATGGGAAGAAAGGAAAGGTATTCTGAGGTTTCACTGGTTAATGCTTGCATAAAACTTTCTCATATAATTATCATTTTTAGATTGGCCCTTCAGATAAGGACTTGCTTACTAAATTGTTTGTTTTGCCAGATAAAACATCCAAAAATCCTTGATTCAAGGTTGAGAAACAAATAATAGAACTATGGGGACTAACCAAAGACGATATAACTTACAAAAATTTTAACATAGAAGTTGGAGTGTTTATAAAGAACACTGTGGAGAATATTGATTCAATACAAGAACTCATACAGTTTAAGAAAATATTATCATTCTCAAAATACTTTGAGATATATACTTGGGATGCAGGATTCAAAAAACTGAAACAACTCTTTAATGACTCTCAACACGATTTATCCTTTGATGAAAGATATCTTCTACTTGATATTTGGTGTAGATTTATCAATGAAGTGAAACACCCTTCATTTTTCAAGCATTATAATGAAGTAGCAAATATGATATTTCTTCAACTATTTCAAAAACTGTCAACAAGTAGTGAGCTTATTGTTTAACACTATTAGACACGACAAGTGAGAATATATTGCAAGGCTACTCACAAGCTCATTTCGATAGTTATATCAAACTATCCCCTCCTTCTCTGTGGGAGATAGTCCAATGATTTAGTAACCATTATCCCATAATTTTGGAATTATGCAATCAGTCAGGTATATAATTTCTATTAAAAATAGGGGCTATCGATGACTTTGACATATTTGTTAACCAGATCATTGATCTTTCTAAACTCCAATCCAAAAACTTGCCTGATTTTGCAGAGTGGATGCATAAAGTCCCTCCTGAAATTTGAAAGCATGTTGATCCTCAGTTGCTCATCAATAAAGTTACTTACAAAAGAAAGAAGAATGGTAATCTTGAATTAACACCCCTTTAGGAATTGAATACTTAGAAATAAACCAGCAGTTAGGAAATGCAAATCTCCAAAAGTTAGTAGTTGTTTTAGATAAATTCCTACAATACTATATGAAATCTGATGTGGAATATAATGACTACTACAAAGGAATTGGTTTGTCCAATTTCCCTGGAGATAAAGACACAGACGTATTGTAAGCATTTGATCATTATTCCCGCCATAATCTATTGTCCTTATAGCAAAGAAAACCTCACATACTCAGAAGTATTACAGGATGCATTTAAGTTCTGACTTCACAAAAAGAAAGAAATTTTAAGTAAGAACAAAGGAAGTTTAAGGATGAAATGAGACGAACTCATCTCTTTCGAATCCTTGATTTTTCAAATTCTCAGAGATCAGCACTTAAATAGAGAGAAGAATAATTCTAAAACGAAGGAATATACTGAAATATTCCCACTGTTTTGTGATAACTTCACAACACATTATGATAGTTATAGAATTAATGAAGACGTTGATGGAATTATCAAATTTATATATTGCTCTCCATCAATGAACCTTAGAGAGGCTAGAAGAAAACTTGCTACCCAAGTGTTGCCAAGGAATATGAATTTTATCAACTCTTTATTTGTTAAGAGAACTATTAGATCTCAAGACTTGGAAATGAGCAATGTATCCTCAGAGCATCTTTTGGCATCTCAATATAACACGAGAAATGAATTAACATTTGATGAAAATCAAATGTTTAATTTAATACAAAATATTTACTTCTCAGTTCCTGATCAAGGGAATCAAAGAGAAAGAGTGCTTGGCATTCTAGAGGACAAACTAACAAATAAATTTGAATTCCTTCCAATTGAGCTTATAATAAAGATTCTACAGAAGATAACTCATTATGAGGAGAATGTGAGCTATGATACACTTGAGAGCATAGAGAAACAATTTACGAAAGGAAAAATTACTTCTCTATATCCCAACCAGATTGCAGAATTATTCAAAGTTTATGCTAAGTCCATATGGGGTATACAATTCATATAATCTTTTAGAAATTCCAATGCTCTGGAACTTTTTGGTAACCTTCTTCAACACAAGTCTTGAGAAAGGCAAGTTCGAATTATATCCAGAAGACTTAGCAGATATAATTATTATTCTTGCTAAAAAGGATGAAGTACGCCATATGAAAATAATAATATTAGATTCCAAATGAAAAGATCCTCACACTTGCAAAAATAGGTAAAATTCATTCCTCATTAGACTAAAACTTAAGAGTTTGAATTAGGCTTTCAGAATACCTCTCAACCAGAATATAGGCCTAAACATACACTTTGATGACCTTGACAAGATATTAGATAATACAATTAAAATGATTCAGCAGAAGAAGAGGAGACATCTCATTTTATCCCCAGAAGATGTCACAGTGATTGGCCATATCATTCATAAAATGAAAACAATTAACACAAAGAAGGCCATTTCTCTTATTGACCACCAAAATTCAAATCTAGAAACTGAGTATCAAAATGATAGTTCTAGTCCCAAGTAAGATTCTTGCATATTTGCCTTACTAATTGATACAAATTTTTAGAATGAGGGAAACAGTAAAGACTAACAAAATTAAGAGAATAATCCAAGGCTACCTTACTAAATTCAGGTTTCTTCAACAATAATTCTTATAGATGGGTTGAAGACGAATTTGGATATGACGAGGCACACAAAATTAAACAAAACTTGTCAAATATCAACAACCAACTTAAGAAAGTAACATTCATTTAATGTCTAGACCAATGTTCGCAAGAGACCTAGAAGAAGACAATCTTCCCGTAGAAGAAGAAATTAAATGCGCCTGATTCTTCCAATTCTAATCTAAGAATATTGAAGATCTCAATCTTGCAAACTTATGTTGGGGTTTTGGGGTTTTGGGGTTTTGGGGTTTTGGGG